CCACGTTTTCTTTCATCATTCTCTTATTTTCTTGGCAGCACGGGTGCCCGGTACACATTTCCAACTAATTCTTCGGACCTTCCTATCTATAGTTAAATTTTGATATCACTTGTAATATTGTTTGCCCTCAACCGTAAATCAGAAGAATTGATGCAGTGCTTATTCATAATATTTCGGAATTTTCTGCAGTTCTATCTCAGTCCTCAATGTAGCTAACGGTGTCCCTGATTAGCCAGACAGCGATGTTAGCGGGATCGATCTCGAGTAGGTGTAACAATGTTTTTGAGGTGTTTGACTGTTAATCATCCAGGGATACAACTTGAAGTTGGTTACCAGTTAAGTTGAAAAGCGCAGCCAGCTGATTTGTTAAAATTAAGTCTACGACAGCGATGCAGAGAAGCGGGTCTCATTACCTTGAGTATCCCTCTAGCCGCGCTGGGGTGGTGGTGCGACGACCAATCTACGAGACTTAAGAATCGAAGTAATCTTTCATCAGATTTGTCATCGCCGTGGGTGCGCCACGAACACAAGTCGGCGCTCCTCCACTCTCTGTTTTCTATTTCCATCGTTGACCAAGAAATTTTACTGTCAGAATCGTTGGCGTTCTGTAGTTCACCGAGCTGTAGGGCTTACCGCCGATGCGGTAGCCTGCTCCTATTCTTTTCTTGAGTTTTTACGTGAAGTTGTCTTGGTAGTTTATTCAGGATGCCATTTTTCGTGAACTATTGCCGACATTTACCCAACCTTCGCCTGACCAAGAGATTCACAGAAATGGAGCACTTTGCTAGGTTTTGGTCACAGACAGATATAACGACGACTGGCGGACAGCATCACCACTTCAACCTACTGGATCTGGTTCCAATATCACATCAGCAGGAGATCCCTAGTAATAAGCCCCAAAGCGAAAACCAAGAACTAGAATGATAAGATTGATGTATCTTTTTTCTCACTGTATATGTATAGCTGCAGAACATTAAAGAAGGGTTACAATAAACCATATTCGGTTTTTGCGACAAATGGCGAAAACAAGATTTTGAGATGAACCGGAAGGAGGGAAGCTGGATGGTACCGAGAAATTGTGAGAAATTGGAAGAATCGGATTTGTCTTAAGCAAACGCATCGGATACTGAAGTGTAATGGCCACGGCTGAACAGTAAGAGCATTTTTAAGGTCATAAAAGAGCTGAACAGGTCTTACTAGGATCTGAAAGATCTCCTCATGGCAAAATTCGCACGCACAGTCGCAGTGGTAAGATTCTGTTGAGACAGATGAAACACGTTTCTCAAAAGGCATTAAAAATTACTGGCAACGTTCACAGATAAAAACTTTTCATTGGAAATATGGTTCAAGAAGATGGTGAATGTGCACTGCGTCAAAGGTCGTGTACCGCGTTACAGATATAAAATCGAAGGAAGACAAAATTATTCAGTGGGAAAATCATGATTAAACATTTCAAAAGAAGGCTGGGAAACAATAACTCAGATGCAAATAGACATATAATTAAGTCAGTGCGTGAAATCAACGAAGATTGATTGTATCCATTACTCGTCTGTATTCTGCAACCATCGCTACAGTCATTGCAGATTACAGAGCATTAATTTCATTTAGCTTCTTTTAGGATTTTGTGTTCATAATCACCTGCTTTAGATTTTGATGCAAAGGTTAGAGAGAACAGGATCTGGAAAGAAACAAAAAACTTGCGGGAGATACAGAGAAACTGCAGAAAAAGCTAGCGTCAATTTGGAAAACCTTCGCTGCAAGAAGGTATGAAGCAAGGAATTTCAGAAGCATCAAAATCTAAAGCAGGTGAATAAGAACACAAAATCCTAAAAGAAACTAAATGAAATTAATGCTCTGTAATCAGTAATGACTGTAGCGATGGTCGCAGAATAACTGACAGACGAGTAATGGATACAACTTGGTAAGATTTTTACACTAAACTGTTCGTCTTCCAAATGATACCTTTTGAAGGAGGCACTAGCGCAGTGATCCGTAGCTCGCTTTGCTCTCTAGAAGCCCAGTGCGGAATAAAATTTTCTTATTAACAGTAAAGTGAAATTAATTATCGTGAAGTGAAATATTTGCATCATTGTGCGGTGCAATCAGGCGAAGCTAATTTGGGAATCATGCGCACAGCATCATTTCTGATACTGTTATCTTAGAGAGCGAAACAACGCTGTTTGATTAGCTGTAATTCGTTTTAACTCAGCTGATTGTTAACTAAAAGTCAGGACGAAGTGAAAATCGTACATTTTCAAAAATTTAAGTTTTATGACCAGACAAATTTACACCCCTGTGTTTCGTCATGGAAAACGATTAAAAGAAACAACTCAGTGCGGCTAGCAGGACTGTATTATAGTTCAAGCGTGATGGCAAAAGATGGTTTATATTGAGCTGAGTCAGAAGACAGAGTATTCAAAATCTAAAACTAATACATAAATGACCCGTAAGAAATAGTGGCTTTGAAAACAGACATTTTGCCCAAAGAGTGTTGGATAACAATAAGCATGAACCACATTACGGCATGAATTACCTGTAACTTCATAGGTAGTTGAAACTTTACTAAGAAAAACGATTTAAAATTCAGAAAACAAACGCTGATTGGAAACAAATAATTTGCATAACAATAGCATTAGTGCAGTTGCTGATAGCCAACTATGGAACTACCTCAAGCGATGCCAAACATTTAACAACGATAGCAAACAAGTCATATAACAACTTGCTAGAGAGCCAAGTCAGCTGGTTTCCAACAACTGGCAGTTTCATAGCATGCTATTAAATACGGGCAAACAACGGTCAATAAAATCTAGGTAACGAAAATAGTTTAGTACGAGGTTTGGATAAAGTCCTGCAGACAAAAACAAACCGAAATCGCTCTTATATCTCCTGCGACAGAGACACCGTTTCTACGTAAGTAAGCAAGTCGTACCGTTGACAGTAGGCGTAAGCAAATCTTCGTCCATCCTTTGTTGGATTACAAAACGCAACTGCATTGCGATCCACCGCTTCTTTGTCTGATCTGAAATTTTCTCGGGCAATGTCAACGAGCCGAGTAGCAATCCGTTTTAGTCTGGCAAATATCCACACCCAAACATGCAGGATACCGAATTCAGTTGGTTCAGAGATTGGTTTCTTTAATGTGCATTTCACCCTCGTTGCCTGCAAATACACTTTCACATTAGTTACTACCATCAAAATAACGAAAAGCTATCCAAGGACAGTAACATTTTGCAATACGCATAGCATATAAATGACGAACCGTTCGGTGAGACCACACCGATTACTGTACGTATACGTGTAACAGAATACACGTGTACGTGTAACAGGATGCATGTGTCACAGAATTTGCAGCTCAAACGCTTGTTTCCGGAAATCTAACATTTTACTTGCACACCGCTATCAACCGGTAAGCGCATCTGATATGAACATTAACAACAGGGTAGCAGGATCATAGTCTCCCTCTCGTCGTGTCGAGCACATTCCAAAATAATTTAATACAGATATACCTAAAACACCTAGATCAGAAGTTTAAAGCATCCAACTCGTGTTGCATGTGGCAATGCTACTAAAACGGTAACAAAAATGTAAAACGAATTCCGCCGTTGCCGATGCCAAGACCGAATGAGAAAGGAGGAGGATTGGAGACAGTAGCGAAGTCTCTGTAAAACTTAGCCACCAATCC